CGGCATCAAAAGTGAAGAGTCCGCGCAACTAAGATGATATGATCTTTTTTCAAAATTTCCATGAAAAGAAAACATTTTTTGGTAACCAAATACCACAATTTGACTTATTCCAGGAAATGACCCTTTCTCTCAGGTAATTCAGACTTCTCGAGTTTGGTAATTCTTCAATTAATGGAAGGATCGTTATGTGATGCATTCAATCATTTTGTATTTCTAAGAGACCTTCCTTATGGATGAAATTGTATCTGAGTTTTTACTAGGCTGGCCTGTTTTTTGTTTAATAAGGGGGTAGTGGCCTTGACATTTAGTGATGTCTTTGACAATTTAGTTGGTTTTGAGTGTTGAACACAATTTTTCTTATGAATTTGTTTGCTGATGATTTTATCTGTTTTTGTTGGTTTGTCCACGTTAGGTTTCTCGGGGGCTATGATCTCGAATGTGGCATTTGTCTTCAGAAATATATTCTCCAAGAAGGGTATGAAGGGGAAGTCTGTTAGTGGGATGAACTACTATGCTTGCTTGTCTATGCTGTCTTTGTTGATTCTCACACCATTTGCCATTGCTGTTGAGGGACCACAAATGTGGGCTCTAGGATTTGAAAAGGCTGTATCTCAAATTGGTCCCCAGATCGTCTGGTAATCACATGACTGCCATCCATCCTATCTGTTTTTACATTTTGTGTCATCAGCACTTTGCCATAAATGGCTCCGGTTAAATAATACTCCCTTCCTTACACTTTATGTGGCAAGGTTCAGAGTACGAGGGTTAAAGTATTCAATTATTTAAGCTTTTGGAAATAAAATTTACATATTTGGAAACTACATAAAAATTACTACTTTATATGTCATACTAGGTGATAAATCAAAATATTTAAGAAAGGTGTGGTCATGGAAGAACCTATTTAATTCCACAAATACTAATATCGTCACTTAAATTGAAACAAAGAGTGTACTACATTTGACTACAGTAGTTTTAATCATTTTAGAGATTTATATGTCAATTGAAAATGTAGAGAACTTTTAGTGCTAAAGAAAACTAGGTTTATCAATATTATGGAACATGCTTAAATAGAGCGACAAGGTCTTTCTTGAGATTGAGATATTTGTCATCGTTATTGATTCCCGTAAGTTGTTGTGTGTAAGAGCAGTACATATTTCACTTCATCTGAATTTTACTACACTTAACTGTAGCTTAGCTTTCCCTCTTCTCAATCTATGTGAGTGAGTGAATTGGTATTAAGAATGTGAGGAGGAAGGATTTTGTGAAATCAGTTGCATCACATACTTAATTTAGGTTTGGTGTTGACTGGTGTTTAATGTGGTGAATGTTTATTGATAACAGGTGGATGGCTGCCCAGAGTGTATTTTATCACCTCTACAATCAAGTTTCATACATGTCTTTGGATGAGATCTCTCCTCTGACATTTAGTATTGGAAACACCATGAAACGTATATCAGTAATTGTCTCTTCCATCATTATCTTCCGTACACCCGTCCAGCCAGTCAACGCTCTTGGAGCTGCCATTGCAATTCTTGGAACTTTCTTGTACTCACAGGTGATAATTTCATTTTTTGCCTTTCTGTATCAGATGTGATTGATTGTTCTTTCCTTGATATAAATTTTTGAAGTCTATAGCTTTTTCCACTTGAACGGCAAGCAAACTAGAATGAGAGATAGCTACTTTCCCTTCCTTTGCACAACAATCTTCACTGGGATCTTTTTAGTTCCTCTCTATATGTGTGTGCATCTTTCCTTCCCTTTCTTCTTTTGGGTTAGCACATCATAATTGTACTATTTGTTATTCGAAACTTAGAAACCGTCTTTTTCTCAACGAAGGCAAATCATTTAGTGCTAAAATGAATAGAGTGGCGATTGGAGGGACGTAAATTACCATATCGAAAAATACTTGATGCCAAGTGTGTTTCCATCAAAATATTGGAATGAAATGAGTTCATACGGAGGTGATAATTCATATAACCGACTCCAACTAGCTTGGGGTTTGGGATTGAGGTGTTTTTTTGTTATCACTGTTGGTGTGCAATAAACCATGGTTCTGCATTTTCTTGTATCACCAATCTTTCAAAACGGATCCCTCTTCGATAATGCTCGTGATTTGCTGCTCTTTCTCTGGTTTTCCTGTATTTTTTTGCGCTAGTTTCATTTTTTCGTCATTTTCATTGCTTGTCCTCTACTAACTTAAAACTCTTTGAATGTTATGCAGGCAAAACAATGAAGAGTGGAATTTGCATACTGCATTAGGGATAAAAGACGTTGAAGAGAACCTTGAGGTGTTGCGATAACGTCTCTCAGGATCCTCGGTCTACCCTCACTTTGGGTTGAGCATGGAACTTATGAGTATGTAGATAGCAATAATGAGTTAGAATTAACTCAAATCCTATAGAGTTACTAAGGCTGGTTTCCCTGTTTTGTTATTATTCGTAGAGACATCAACAAGTGTACTAATAAACTGAATACTTGGTTGAGAGTGGTATAAATTAGTTTATTTAAGCATAAACCTTGCAGAATTTGGCTCAAATAAACAGCATGATTGCCTTAACTAGCACTCCATGTTTGACATAGATTGATCAGACACCGATTAAGGTGAAATTTGGCTCATGAACATATCGAAGAATCTGAACAAAACACATACTTCCTGGTGGAAACACCACTAGTAGAAAGTTAGAAACCAAGTGACGAGAAGTATATATGGACCTTTTAACAATCAAGAGAATTGGGTTCTGGGTTCATGAATCAACAGCTCTATCAACAAAATTTTCGACAACAATCTTATTTAACTTACAAAATTTGTTGTGCCATAAAACAGAAAATACTCTTTTAAGTTACCTTTAAAGTACAAAGAACTCTTTGGGATAAGTATTACCAACTTCTCCATCAAACCTTCAAATATTTAATAGCAGTCTGAACATCTTTATCTCCTCTACCACTGCAGTTAAGCACGACCTTAGTTCCATTCGGTAAAGTTGGACACAACTTCTCTAAGTAGGCCAGAGCATGAGATGTTTCTAGAGCGGGGATGATACCCTCTAACCGAGATAACCTTTTGAAGGCTGAAAACATGAGGCATAAGTGAAAGATGAATGGGTTTGTAAGATACATCAAAAGTGAAAGCCGGTTACCAAACGAGAAAATAATAACTTCAACGAGGAACAAAATCATATGTAAAGCTTAGAACAAAGAACAAGTGAAATCATTTATCACCTTCCAAAGCCTCCTCATCTGTGATGCTATAATATTCTGCTCTCCCCAGATCTTTCAAAAAGCTGTGTTCTGGCCCAACTCCAGGGTAATCCAATCTAATAATCCGTCAGGGGAATAAACCAGTTAGAACTTGGAAGATGTAAAGATTTGATTTTGGGCGAATATACTTATTTTGGTAGCGTCAAGTGTACACACTCAGGATTTTGTAAATGAAATATGAGCACTTTGATAACGAGAAAAGTTCAAGTTATTACCCAGCACTGATAGAATGAGGCTCAACTATCTGCCCATCTTCATCTTGCAGTAAATAGCTCATAGCTCCATGTAATACTCCTACCTCTCCCTTTGTTAAAGTAGCAGCATGTTTACCACTATCTAGACCAAAACCTGCTGCTTCAACCCCAATCAACCTCACATCTTTGTCATCAACAAACTCATGAAAGAGTCCCATAGCATTTGAACCTCCACCAACACATGCAACAAGCACGTCTGGTTTCCCGCCCCACTTTTCCAATGATTGCTTCCTTGTTTCTTTACCAATCACTGCATGGAAGTCCCTAACCATCATGGGGTAAGGGTGTGGTCCTGCAACAGATCCAAGTATGTAGTGAGTTGTTTCAACATTTGTAACCCAATCCCTTATAGCTTCTGAAGTAGCATCCTTGAGCGTAGCAGTTCCAGAGTGGACTGCTCTAACCTGCAATGTTAATTTTGGGAGATGTAATTAAATAGAGTGATTCGAATGCAATGGAAAGATCTCTTACAAAGTATAAGATAAAATTATGTAATCTATCCCAAGAATAAAGAGGGAAAAAGGA